CATCCGAAGAAGTGGGCTGTAGCCCACGAAAGCTTATGCTCTAATAAATTTGTTAGTCTCTAAGGTGCCACAAGTCCTCCTGTTCTTCTTTTTGCAAAAAATAAAAATCAGTTTTGGGTTGAGCTGAATTCTTTCCACCTGATTTTTTGGACTTGCCAGAGAACCAGAAATCCGTTATTCGCCCAGCTCCGGTAGCTAGGCCTTGCATTGACTTGTATATTTCGTTAACACAGAATGGGAACCAAATGGGCCAAAGTAGTTTCTGCCTAGTTTCTTGGCTGTGTAAAGAGCAAAGAATACAACCACCAATGGGTGAAACCTGGTGGGGAAATGAGTCAGAGACATAGATAGCTCTGGAGTCAGCAGCAAAAGTACCATCTGACCTGCACACACATATCTGTGCATGCACATTCAGCGTGGCAATGAGGCATACTGGATTTCACAAGGTACAACAGGTACCTCTCTCCTTTGATCATATGCACAGGGATTGCAGAGAAAAGCTCACATGCACACACCCAGAGGCACACAGCCTTCCAGTTCCTTTATACCACAATCATACCACTTCCTAGGTGCACCAGCTAATGCCTCCACCATTCAGTACAGCTACACCTCACTCAGTGACTGCAGCTCAGTACATGCAGATAATCCCAGGGACTTACTGCCATCTCCTAGGGAGCAGAGTTAAGGTGAATTTGTATAGACACACATACGCTCTCTGAATTAAAGGTGGAGCTGGCAGTTACGATCCTGTTTACAGTTTCTTACAACTTTGCCAAACTTCAGCCATGTGGATTACCTATAACATTAAAAAACCCAAAGGATATTAAGGGTACCCTTAAAGTCCAGCAACACCCTGGTAACCTTAACTCTGCTCCCATTACACAATGGGAATGAAAATGATGAGGGGTATGGGCCAGCTTCCACACACAGAGAGATTAAAAGATTGGGACTGTTCATCTAAGAAAAGAGATAACTAATGGGGATATGATAGAGGTCTATATAATTATGGCTGATGTGGAGAAAGTGACTAGGGAAGTGTTATTTACCTCTTCACATAACACACAAACTAGGGGTCACCCAATGAAATTAATAGGCCGCAGGTTTAAAACAAACAAAAGGAAGTACTTCTTCACCCAACACAGTGTGGCACTTGTTGCCGTGGTATGTTGTGAAAGCCAAAATTATAACTGGTTTCAAAACCAAATTAGATACATTTATGCAGGTTAGGTCCATCAATGGCTATTAGCCAAGATGGTCAGGGATGCAACCCCATGCTCTGGTTATCCCTAAAACCTCCAACTGTCAGAATCTGGGACTGGACGACAGGGGGGTGGATCACTCGAAATTTCCTGGTTTTGTTCATTCACTCTGAAGCATCGGGCACAGGCATGACACTGGGCTAGATGGAGTGTTTGTCTAATTCAGTATGGCCGTTCTTATGTGCTTTACAATCTTTACAATCTTACAAGCATGATCACATGCAAGACCTTAGAGTTGGGCATAATTTTTCAGCCAAAACTATTTTTCACCAAAAAATGGACATTGAGGTTGGTGGAAACATTTCACAAATTCGTGTCGGATTTGCCAAACTGTTTTATTTAAAAAAAAAACAACACTATAATAATTCTGAAAAAATGGAAACATTTT